ATTATATCGATTGTGAATCTAATTACAAAACCTCACGCTCATGGACATCATTTGCAGCTAAATTGAACATTTTTGAGAAACAATTGTGGTATGAAATATGAATGCAAGACAAAGTTCTGTTATCCAATATATTTCTAAAAGTCTCAACAATCCTGATCTAACCCAGGTACCGGCGATGAGAATACACTGGTTAAGCAGTAAATAAAATAAATTAAACATAATATATCATATCAACCAAAAGCTAAAACTAACATATGGAGACAAAACCCAATAATGAGTAGCTGCATGCATCTAGGTATGATAAGCTCAATTAGAACCATAATAAAGCTAACTGACCTTCACATAAACAAAATTTGCATTGACACAAAGTGCAAGATTACTAGGAAGGGTCCACGGGGTTGTTGTCCAAGCCACAAAAGCAGCCTTATCAGGATCACCAACTATTGGAAAGGTCACCATTATTTCAACGTCAGGAACAAGCTGCATGTTAGAGTGTTAGACAAGATTCAGATGAAAGTCCAACAACAATCAAAATCTTAAGGCTAAACTGGCATTTCAATTAACCAATTCAACTTATTCTGCCAAGTGAAAAGTTTAACATGATTCAGACTTCATAACATTGAATAACAACAATTCAATTCATAAAATATAACACATAATCTTGGATAGCATACCTTGTAGTTCTGGCTAGCTTCAAAATTAGATAGTGGCGTTTTACAACCAGTGCTGTATGGCATGACCTGCAAAAACGCCATTACCAACAAAGAAAGAAACTTTAGTGCACTACAAAACCAATCATGAGCAGGGAAACAGCAAAAAAATTTAACTTCCAAATTCACGGACTAACCTTGAAGCCTCTATATACAAGCCCCTTCTCATAAAGCTGGGCGAAAACCCACCAAACAGACTCCATGAACTTTAAATCCATAGTCTTATAATCGTTCTTGAAATCAATCCATCGCCCAGTCCTCGTGACAATCTTCTCCCACTCCTCAACATACCTAGTAACAATCCTTCTGCAATGCTCATTGTAATTACCAATGCCCATCTTCAGGATTTCGTCCCTGCGCTTTATACCCAATGCATTGTCGATCTCATTCTCTACAGGCAGCCCGTGACAGTCCCAGCCAAAGCGGCGAGTGACGTGGTGTCCATTCATGGTTTGGTAGCGCGTAACAACATCCTTGATGGTCCCGGCGAGGATGTGACCGTAGTGAGGGAGGCCTGTGGCGAAGGGAGGACCATCGTAGAAGATGTACTCGGGGCAGTTCTCAGTGCGCTTGAGTTGGGTGTTAAAGGCGTCAATTTGAGACCAGAAAGACAGGATCTTCTCCTCCTCGGTGGAGAAAGAGTAATCCTTTCCTTCGCAGACGTCCTCCATGGGGATGGAGGGGCCGA